CCGATCAGATACTCTCTCCTTACGAAAAAAAAAAACTTCGACCTCACCATATGCAGAGAAAATACTAGATTCCTCTTCTCCCTCCATCCTCTTCCATCACAAGGACCGTAATAAACGAAACAATAAACGCGTAAACCAGAGAACAACAAAATCAATTCCAGATCCAAAGAGAATATCGACAGCATCAAATGCGAGATAAAAAACAAAATTTATACAAATTGGAGTTGGGAGAAACAAAAACCAGAAAACGCAGATTCAAAAGACGAAAGGCAGGCCGATGGAAATCTTACCAGAGGGGCAATCCCAATCCGAGGAGCAGAGACGGAGGATCTGAGCTAGAAAGAGATCTGCAAACCCTAACTCGACGAGAGAGAGAGAGAGAGCAAAAAAACGGGGGGGGGAGAGAGGAGAGATGAGTGGTGACAGGCTGTATCCAGCACCGAGGTCTCTGGATTCGGGTTTTCGGGTTTTCCCCCCCTCGGATTCCGAGCCTACGTGGCATCCCTTTGGCGGCGTTTGCGGCCTCTGTCTTTCTCCCCAGTTTTGCCACGTGTTCCTCTTCTTTTCCCCCTCTAAAAAAAATGCAGAAAAATGTAATAAAGATAATAAATGAAGAAAAAAAGTCCATGGACTTGAGAAAAATTGTCTACAATTTTTATTACGTGAATGTGAAGACAAAAGTTGTAGAAAAAATTTAGAGGGAGAATAAAGGAAGGAAAAAAGTCCATTAACTTAAAAAAATGTCTATGAATTTCTTTTATTATGTGAATATAAAGAAAAAAGTTTTTCTTTGTTGCTTTCTGTTTTCTAAAACATTATTTAAGGGAAATTACAAATTTTAGGAATTAGAAAGAGTACTATTCCGAAAGGGAAAAATAGTAATTTTAGTTAAAGGATAAATTTTGATTTTTTAAAATAATATCATTTTAATATAAAATTCTAACTAAAAGTTTCAATATATATGATTTATATACTAGTTATGCATATGAAAAATGGTGGCATGTTGGATTGAAAGGTACTAATCCATAATACTTGTTTTTAGTTAAAATAATTAGATTTCTAATTTTATTTTTATTAAAAGGTACATCTTGTGAATTTAGAATAACCTTTATTTTTTTGGGGGAATTATTTTAATTTTATGAAGTTCTACCAAAATCCAATTAAAAGATACAATGATAATAACTGAAAATTTGTGAAAAACAATTTGTTAAAAAATAGAAAAAGTTTTAAACTTGGATATATATATATATATATGTGTGTGTGAGAGAGGGAGGGAGAGAGAGAGAGAGCGTGTTTTTAAATACTATGTTTAATGCATCATACAAAATCAATAATCCATTTATAAAATTTTGAGACTGTTGTAAATATACAAGTAGACATCTAGTGGGATCCATATTATCTAGTGGAACCCATTTTATGCTCTTCTTCACTATGAAGAAGCTGACCCTTCTTCACTATGAAGAAGTTGACTTTTCTTCACTATGACGAAGTTCCTTATATTTCTCTATAAATAGGTCAGTGATGTAGTTCATTTGTAACATACGAAATACGAAGAACATTCTCTCTCTTCTCTCTATCATGTTCTTTCTCTCTCTAGAGTATTTCCCCCTTATTTTTCGTCTTTCGTTTTCAACACGTTATCAGCACGAGACTCTACCGACATAGAGGTAAAAAAGAAAATATCATACAAAAGGTAATGTATGATTCTCTATCTATATTCATCTTCAATTTCATTATATATAGACCTTGGAAGGCTCAGCCACCGGTCACTAATATATAACTAATCACATATATTTATATTACATTCATATAGACTTTGCAGGCTCAGCCACCAGTCAATGATATGAATGTTTATAAATATTGGTGTTATCATCATAATGGTTGGCTATGCCACCTGTAAATATCATTATACATATCTATAAGTATTACTATTATTATCATAATGGTTGGCTATGCCACCTGTAAATATTCTTATGAATATTTACAAATATTGCTATTATTATCGTAATGGTTGGCTATGCCACCTAAATATGAATATTATTTCTGTCATTATTTATGTTATTATTTCTGTGATGGATGGCTATGTCACCTTAGCTATGTACTTTATGCAATATGGACGGTATTACCGCCTGATAATATATTCATGATTATATCTATTGTTGTTACATATGATACATATGTCGAATTTGGTCAATCTTGAAATCGCTGCCCTCGATGCTTATGGCAAAAAATTATATGATATGGGCATTTGATGCCAAAATGCATCTGAAAGCCGAAAAGATTGTCAAAACAATCGAAAAAGGGCAAGCGACATCTGAACTGATAAGGAAAAAGCGATAATATTTCTGCGACGCCATCTTGATGATGCGCTAAAAGATGAATATCGCATGAAAGATGGGAATCACTCAGATTTATGTGAATCACTCAGAGATCATTTCGATCATGAGAAATATGTGATCCATCCGGGAGCCAAACATGATTGGCTGGATCTGAGATTCTAAGACTTTAAGTCTGTGCGAGAATATGATTCCGCAATGTTTGAGATAATATCTGTTATCGATGTGGTATGAACGATCATTGGTCACAGACCTGTCGTATACCGAAACATCTTGTTGAATGATATCAACAATCATGTAAAGATAAAAAAGGGAGAAATACCCAGACAAAATTTTGTATCTGGTGTCCCTGATGATTTCATCAATAAAGAAAGAGATGGAACATATTTGTATATCGCGGATTTCCTTGATCAGCTTGAAGATGGAAAAATGACCAACTAGAGAAAATCGACATGAAGTTTATTATGAATGTTGCATTATGTATTTTATTTCCAAGTGTATTTTATACTCTAACGTCTAGTTTATGTGTTGTATACTATTTCATCTTTATCTTTGTTTTCAGGAATATTTCGTATCTTTCACATTGATCAATTCGACTTGAGATATGTCGAAATTCAAGATCAATGAGGGGGATATATGTCTAGCCAATAGTGCTACGACTCATACGATACTTAAAGATGAGAAATACTTCTCTGAGTTGAATATTACTGAATCCAGTGTTAACACAATATCTGGAAATGCGAGAATGATCATGGGCTCAGGAAGAGCAAGTTTTATGATGCCTAGAGGCACAAAGATTATGATCAATAGCGCATTATTCGCTCCAAAGTCTCAAAGAAACTTATTGAGTTTCAAAGATATTCGCCAAAATAATTTTCATATCGAGACTATAAGCGAAGAAAATCGTGAATACCTTTGTATCACGTCAATAATTGCTGGAAAGAAGCATATGATGGAAAAGTTACCATCATTATCCTCTGGATTATACTTCACAAAGATATATATGATTGAATCATATTCTACGATAAATCCACGGTTTGGAGATGTGTTCAAGATTTGGCATGATCGACTGGGTCACCCTGGTTCAATAATGATGCGGAGAATTGTGGAAAGTTCTAATGGTCATCCATTGAAAAATGGAAAGATTTTCCAATCTTATGAACTCACATGTACCGCATGTTCTCAAGGAAAATTGATAATAAGACCGTCATCGGTCAAAATCGGAAATGAATTGCCATCATTTTTAGAACGAATACATGGGGATATTTGTGGACCAATACATCCATCGAGTGGACCATTTCGATACTTTATGGTATTGATAGATGCATCAAGTAGATGGTCACATGTTTGTCTATTATCAACCCGCAATATTGCATTCGCGAGGTTTCTTGCTCAAATTACCAAACTACTAGCTCAATTCCCTGATTATCCTATTAAGAAAGTGAGGCTTGATAACGCCGGTGAATTCACTTCTCAAGCTTTCAATGACTATTGTATGTCACTCGGAATTGAGATTGAGCATCCTGTTCCCCATGTCCATACAAAAAATGGTATGGCCGAGTCATTAATTAAGCGACTCCAACTTATTGCTCGACAATTGATGATGAAAACAAAACTTCCGATTTCTGTTTGGGGCATGCTATTTTACATGCTGGAGCACTGATTCAAATCCGACCGAGTGCATATCATAAATATTCTCCAGTGCAATTGGCAACTGGAAATGAACCAAATATATCTCATCTTAGAGTATTTGGTTGTGCGGTATATGTACCAATAGCTCAACCACAACGTACAAAAATGGGTCCACAACGACGATTGGGTATTTACGTTGGATATAATTCACCCTCAATCATTCGATATCTTGAACCACAAACGGGTGATATGTTTACAGCTCGTTTTGCTGATTGTCATTTTCGTGAGGATGAATTCCCGACGTTAGGGGGAGGAATGATACAAGCCTCACAAGATTTGAGGTGGAAAACAGAATCATTATTATATCTTGATCCTCCTACAAAACAATGTGATCTTGAGGTACAAAAGATCATACATTTACAAAATGTTGCAAATCGATTGCCAGATGGATTCACAGATACAATACGGGTGACAAAATCATATATACCAGCCGTGAATGTACCCGCTCGGATAGAAATACCAAAGGATCAGGGGGAGAAAAGAATTTCAAATGAGTCTATGGCACAGTTGAAACGTGGAAGACCACCCGGTTCTAAAGATAGAAATCCACGAAAAAGAAAGAAAACTGAGACTGATGATAGTACTCAGATTGATCCAAAAGAACCGAATGAGGAAAAAGATACTGAATATCAAAATGATGAAAATGGTCTTCAGAATGCAGAAGACAATGAGATTTCCATCAACTACATCCATAATGGAAAGATGTTGGTAAGAAATGAGATAGACGACAGTAATGGAATATTCTCTTTCTCTGTATCTAAGAAAATCGAAAATGATAGTGAAGATCCAGAACCGATGTCGGTATTTGAATGTCAAAGGAGACATGATTGGATAAAATGGAAAGAAGCTATGGAAGTAGAATTAGACTCATTAAATAAAAGAAAAGTATTTGGATCCATTATCCAAACCCCTGACGGTGTAAAACCAGTTGGATGCAGATGGGTGTTTGTGCGAAAGAGAAATGAAAATAATGAAATTATGAGATATAAAGCACGTCTTGTCGCACAAGGTTTCTCTCAAAGACCTGGGGTAGATTATGAGGAAACGTATTCTCCAGTCATGGGTGCGATTACGTTCAGATATTTGATAAGTTTGACAACTTCCAAGAATTTGGAAATGTACCTCATGGATGTTGTCACAGCATATTTATATGGGTCATTAGAAAATGACATATACATGAAAATTCCTGAAGGATTGAGAATACCGGGGACATTAAACTCAAGATCCAAGGAAATGTATGCGATCAAATTACAACAATCCTTATACGGATTAAAACAATCTGGACGTATGTGGTATAATCGCTTAAGTGAATGTCTGCTGAAAAAGGGATATGTTAATAACCCCATTTGCCCATGCGTATTCATCCAGAAAACAGCTAGCGACTTTGCGATTATAGCGGTGTATGTGGATGATCTAAACATAATTGGGACTCCAACGGAAATTGAAAACGCTCGAAGTTATCTCAAAGGAGAATTTGAGATGAAAGATTTGGGACGAACAAAGTTTTGTCTTGGACTACAAATAGAACATCTTCCTAGTGGAATACTTGTTCATCAGTCCAACTATACCAAAAACAATTCTGAGGCGTTTTAACATGGATAAATCAAATCCGTTGAGCACCCCAATGGTTTGTAGATCCCTAAATGTTGAAAAAGATCTATTTCGTCCTTGCGAAGATAACGAAGAGGTACTCGGTCCTGAAGTACCTTATATGAGCGCGATAGGGGCATTGTTATATCTTGCTAACTGTACTCGACCAGATATAGCGTTTGCTACTAATCTTTTAGCGAGATATAGTTCGTCTCCAACAAGACGACATTGGACAGGGATCAAACATATCTTTCGTTATTTACAAGGAACGATTGATTTGGGATTATTTTATCCTAAGGATTCGAAATCTTGAGCTAATCGGTTTTGCAGATGCAGGTTATTTATTCGACCCTCATAAAGCCCGATCACAGACTGGATATGTTTTCACAATTGGAGGTACTGCAATATCCTGGCGTTCTCAGAAACAAACATTGGTTGCAACATCTTCGAATCACGCTGAAGTCATTGCACTTCATGAAGCAAGTAGAGAATGTGTATGGCTCAGGACTGTAACCCGCCATATATTAGAAGCGTGTGGATTACCGATTAATATCGATCCAACGATATTATTCGAAGATAATGCTGCATGTGTTGCTCAAACCAAAGAAGGATACATAAAGAATGATCGAACGAAGCATATTCCTCCGAAGTACTTCTCTTACACTCAAGAGCTCGAAAAGAAGAAGGAAGTTGATATCCGTTATATCCGATCAAGTGATAACGTAGCTGATTTATTCACAAAGGCACTCCCTACTTCAACATTCAAGAAGCATATTCAGAATATCGGAATGCGTCGTCTTCGAAGTTTATGAAGAAATGTATGCATATTGGTTCAAGGGGGAGATTGTAAGACTGTACTCTTTTTTCCTCGTCATGGTTTTTATCCCACAGGGTTTTTCCATGATAAGGTTTTTAACGAGGCAGTCCATACTAGATGTCTAAGGGGAAGTGTTGTAAATATACAAGTAGACATCTAGTGGGATCCATATTATCTAGTGGAACCCATTTTATGCTCTTCTTCACTATGAAGAAGCTGACCCTTCTTCACTATGAAGAAGCCGACTCTTCTTCACTATGAAGAAGTTGACTTTTCTTCACTATGAAGAAGTTCCTTATATTTCTCTATAAATAGGTCAGTGATGTAGTTCATTTGTAACATACGAAATACGAAGAACATTCTCTCTCTTCTCTCTGTCATACTCTTTCTCTCTCTAGAATATCTCTCTCTTGTTTTTCGTCTTTCGTTTTCAACAGAGACTATATAGTTATATTTACAATCATATTGTGTGTATTCTTCGAGATTCCTCTTTGAAGTAGACCGATTTATAATTCTCCATTCATGTTTATTTTGATACTAACTATTGACGTGTCATATATATAATATTATACTAAAATCCTATTTGGAAAATGGGATTTATATAATTTTTTAATAGACATATATATTTAAAACTTTTGTTTATTTACTTGGAAGTTATATTCATATTTTTTAAGATTTTAATGCATGTTTGAATTAAAGAAAAATATCTACAAATGGGTCTCCAAAGAAAGTGATTTTCTCCTCTCTCTTTGTGGGGATAGGATCCAATCCGAAGGGTTTAGTTCGGACTTAGTGAACTGGCTCGAGAAAAACCTTCGTCTTTACACGAACGTGAACTCCACGCCTTGGTCGATTATCTTTGGCGTCTCTTGTTGGTTCTTGTGGCGTTGGCGAAACGAGACCATCTTTTGTAATAAAGAGTTTCCATCTCGAGCGTGTAGTATGATTCTTGGCTATTCTCAGCAAATCAACACGTTCAACAACCGAATGCCTAACTCAAAAAAGCTCAGAATCGCGAAGGACATATCTTGGATATCACCTCCTCCGGATGTTTGGAAACTGAATTCGGATGGGAGTGTGAGAGGAAACCCGACCTCTGCTGCGTGCGGAGGCCTACTTAGGGATCACTGGGGGAATTGGTCTATTGGTTTCGCCTCAAACCTTGGGATATGCTCAGTCTTTAGAGCAGAGGCCTGGGGGGTTCTGATCGGCTTACGGCTAGCATGGCAAAGTGGGTTTCGAAAAGTTCTGGTGGAAATTGATAACAGATCTTTGGTGGATGCAATCAATAATCAAAAGGATACTCACACGGTAGATGGGAACATCCTCAAAGCAATTCAGACTCTATTAGCCAAAGAATGGGATGTTTCAATCTATCATATTTATCGGGAAGCTAACTCGTGCGCAGATTTTTTGGCATCCACAGGTCACACTCTTCCATTAGGAACATCTGTTTTTACTGCTGCTCCTTCCCCACTGTCTAAGCTTCTGATTGCTGACAGACTTGGGGTTACTACAGCTCGAAGCGTTTTGATGTATTGATCTACTCCTATTTATAAAAAAAAAAAGACAAATAAAGAAATGACGAACGTACTCGTGGGATCTAAATCAAAATTTGATTCTACAAAACGTAAT